TTTCTGACACAGGCCAGGATGCCATTTATCAAGGGGAAGTCGTGTTTGACAAACCTGATAGCCTTCTATGAAGAAATAACCAGGTGGATAGATGATGGTAGTGCAGAGGATGTGGTTTATCTTGGTTTCAGTAAAGCATTTGACACTGTCTCCCACAGCATCCTTGCAGCTAAACTGAGAAAGCGTGTTCTGGATGATCAGGTCGTGAGGTGGATTGTGAACTGGTTGAAGGAAAGAAGCCAGAGGGTTGTGGTCAATGGGGCTGAGTGTAGCTGGAGGCCTGTATCTAGTGGAGCCCCTCAGAGGCCGGTACTGGGGCCAGTACTGTTCAGTATAATCCTCAGTGACGTGGATAAGGGAACAGGGTGCCCTGTCAGCAGGTTTGCTGATGATAGAAACCTGGGAGGAGTGGCTAACACACCAGAGGGCTGTGCTGCCATTCAGCAAGACCTGGGCAGGCTGGAGAGTTGGGCAGGGAGAAATCAAATGAAATACAACAAGGGCAAGTGTAGAGTCTTGTGTCTGGAAAAGAATAACCCCATGTACAAGGATAGATTGGGGACCAACCTGTTAGAAAGTAGCAGAGGGGAAAGGGAGCTGGGGGTCCTGGTGGACAGAAGGATGGCCAGGAGCCAGCAACGCACCCTCGTGGCCAAGAAGGCCAATGGCATCCCAGGGTATATTAGAAGGGGTGTGGTGAGTAGGTTGAGAGAGGTTCTCCTCCCCTTCTACTCTGCACTAGTGAGACTGAATCTGGAATATTGTGTTTAGTTCTGGGCCCCTCAGTTCAAGAAGAACAGGGAACTCTTTGAAAAAGTCCAGCACAGAGCCACAAAGATGACTAAGGGAGCAGAGCATCTCCCTTATGAGGAAAGGCTGAGAGACCTGGGGCTCTTTAGCTTGGAGAAGAGGAGACTGAGGGGTGACCTCATCAGTGTTTATAAATTTGTAAGGGGCGAGTGTCAGGAGGATGGAGCCAGGCTCTTCTCTGTGAATTTCAATGACAGGACAAGGGGCAACAGGTGCAAGCTGGAACATAAGAGGTTCTGCAGAAACATAAGGAAAAACATTTCCACTGTGAGGGTGACGGAGCACTGGAACAGGCTGCCCAGAGGGGTTGTGGACTCTCTTTTGGAGACATTTAAAACCCACCTGGATGCGTTCCTGTGTGACCTGCTCTAGGTGGCCATGTTCTGGCAGGGGGTTGGACTAGATGATCTTTCAAGGTCCCATCCAACCCTTAACCTTCTGTGATTCTGTGAAAGATTAAGAATTAATGTAAAAAGCCAGTTTTGACGTTTTCAAATAAAACTATTTTTATCTCTTTGCCTGAGGCAACTTTTTGTTTTGAAATTTAAGGTAACTGTAGAAATAAAATACAAATCATATGTAAACATTCTGAGGTAGTGGAGACTAACATTTTGAGGGATTAGGTGCAAATTCTTCTTGGTTTGCTAATACAGAAATGTGAATTTGAACATTATTCATGTGAAGAATTTCCAATCTGTCATTTGAGCCTGACTGAAGCTCAGAAAAATACCTTTCATAAGTCTACATTATTCAGGACAGCATAGCAATTTTTAAAAAAGGGAAATGCTTTTATCCCAGCTACTATTGCCATAATTAGACATCTTCAACTGCAGGTGCTCCATATCAGGAAGGATACAGGAAGAATGAGCCTTGGATCTGATCATGAGAGCGCAGCCCCAGAAATGGAGCTAGATGAAAGCCAGGAGGTCCAGCCTTCCCTCTCACAGGTTGGTCCTTGGGTTGGGAGCCCTGCAGCTTTTTCTTAACTGTATGGCAGGTTACTCGGTGTAAAGCACTGTAGTCTGCCACTGGAGGGAGTCAAGATGATGTGCACAGAGTCTGCCTAATCCACTAGGAAATGCCTGATAAAAGGTGTTATTTTATTAAGAGTCTTTATTATGGTCTTCCATTAAGTCAATACCAAAGCCTTCAGTAATCTCATCTAAAAGATGATTGGGCTACAAAGCTTAGACTGGCTGGATTTAAAAATCAGTACAGCAGGAGTTAGTCCTATAACGTAATCTAATTAGGTTGCAAATTAACAACCAAAGCAATATGGAGGAATTGGTGTAACTGATGTGTTTGTAATATTCCCAGTGTAACAAAGATGGGAACATTAACCATGGAGCATTGCAGGCACTGCTTTTACAACTACAAAACCTTGGCGAAAGATATGTTTTAATCCTGGGCAACAACCTCTTTATACAACAAGGATTTGAACTCCAGCAGGTAAGTTACCTGTATCTGGTAACTGCTGTGGCCCTGACCTCAAGCTTTGCTGTAACTGTGAGCCTCACTGTTGTTCCCCTCATGTATTTTGGAGCATTTGATGTTCTTCTTGGAGCCCTATCTGTTCTGGCTGGTGGGAAAGAGACAAGAGTGTCAGATTTCAAGCCTGTTTTAAAAAACCCACCTTGTGGATATCCATGGCAAAAATAAAGGAGCAAAAATAAAACAGAAGTCTGTTCGTTTTCAGCATATGGCTACACTCAGCCAGAGCTGTGACTACAGCCAAAAATGGCCCATTCAAGCTGTTAGTAAGCTACCTGCTTCTGGGCTTGCAAGTGGCACAGCTAGGGAGCACTAAGCTTGGAGAAGGCTTATCACCTGAGATATTTCAGAGGTTCATGCAGAGGGCTGTTGTGTTGAACTCCTTACTCTTTTCTTACTGAATGACAGAGTCGTCCTTAGACTACCTCGTGTGGATTACTTGCTAGTCACATCTTTGCTTTTCTGTCAATCATTTCTGTTGAACGATTTGGATATTTAAGAATTAAACAACACATCTTGCATCTTCTCTAACTTTGCCTTATGGAGTCAACAGGTCCTTCAACATTTCTAAAATTGTTCTGAGCCATTGATTTCTTTCAAAAGGGAATGTGCACTTAACAGATTTGACCAATTCAGTTTTCCTTTACAGAAATATCTGCTGTGCACTAAGGAACTGTATGGAGCAATGCTGCAAACAGTGGATTTTCATGGTGCTGTTGAAGCTGCCAGAATAAAAATTAACAGTTGGGTTGAAAGTGAGACACAAGGTAAAAAAAAGCAAGCCCATAACTGTACTATCACAGCCTTCTTACACTGCTTCAGCAAAAGAAATTCCAGGGTATGAAAAGACTTGTTCACATTTCTGGGTGTTCAATCTTATGCTGTTTAAAGACAGCGTGTATTCCCATCCACTTTTGAAACAGTAGAGTAAGTTATCAGCTAAATTATTTCTGAATTAAAGGTATGTTTGTAGTCAAATACTTTTGCATACCCACTGTTACACCTGGCATGATAATTGCGATAACATCTATAAGGCTCGACCAAACAAATTATTTCCACAAACAACTACAAATGGAGATACAGGACAGCAGGGGATGATCTTTTGCTGATTGCACACCCCAATAGGAAGGATACTACCATCAGTAAACAGCACATAGGCCAGATCTTTCCCTTTGATTCTAAATTAGACATGGAGGATATGAGGTGGCTAACAACTAGAGGAAGCCATCAATCAAAACAGATTGATACATTCACTCACAGTGTAGGATGAAGTGAAGACAGGAGTGAAATGATTTAGAAGCCATGTAACCAGTCCAATTCCAATCACACGGCAATGGCCAAAACCCAGTGCCATTATTACAGATGTAATCCTCCCTCTGCTCCCGTTGTGTTGGTGTCCCACCATTGTTGGGAGCACAACAGACAGGAAGTCCATCCGATAACTGGAAACCCTACCTAGTGCACTCACGACATAAATAAAATCCCACATTCACTACAAAGAGAGCCAGCCTTTATGCTGGGACACCTAATGTTAATGCTAAAGGCAGGGGACCTGGTGGTGATTTCCTAAGTGAGTCAGGAGGGTCTTTCCTGCCTAGTTGTGGACATCATCCATACGTCAACTCTGATTTAGGGCTGAGAGCTTAGACCCCAGCACTTCAGATGGAAACTGTGAGCTTTATGGTCAGACTGGGAATAGTTTGGGTGGAGGACGACTGAGGACCTGCTAATATGTAGAGCAACGTTCACAAAAATCAAAGGTGTGACCACCAGTGAGACTCACTACCGCAAATGACAACCAGCTCTTGCCCTGAACAGGCTAGCAGGAGCCATTGGCTCTTGCTGATTAGATCCAACATGATATATGTTAAATCATTTTCCTTTAGATTTGCCAGAGCTGCAAGTAGCAGTGGGATGAAAATTTTCCAAATCTTTTGGCTGAACAGAAACCAGAACTTACTGAAGGACAGGCAAATAGGTTTGAAGGCTTCTGTAATTTCTCAGTTGCACATCTACTCAAACCTGTCCTTGTGACTGGGGTAGGAAAGAGCTGTTACAGTTGGCTCCTAGTAAGAGGGCTGAAGGGTCAGGGGCCAGCTTGCACAAGATTAGGAGCCATCATTGCACTGGGTGGTCACATGAAGTCTGTGGACCTGCTAACTCCTACTTCAGCCTCCGTGTAGAAGGTCAAAAGCTTCACGATGGGATAACTGCTGTGCTTGGTGCAAAGGGAAAGGCACTCTCATGTAAGCTGAAATAAGAGGTTAATGGTGCTGCCTCCTTCCTCATGGTTGGTGTCACCTGGTACATATATATAGTCACTGACACTAACAGTTGGCTAATTTGGTGACCCACTCTTCCTCCTGTCCTTTCTGGCTGGTAACAGTGTAGAGGAATTTTGCTTCCCTATATATATAAACATTTGTTTCCCTATATTGTCCCTGTCCTTTGAATAAATGAACTGGATTTCTAAGTTTCTTCAAAACTAAGGTCAGAGACAAATAATTGAGTCTTGGTCCAGAACCTTAATGACAGCTAACAAATCCTTGTGTATTCCAAAATTTCCTTTAGGTAAAATCAAGGAGCTCTTTGCTCCTGGTGTAATCGATGAACGTGCGTTGCTGGTGCTGGCAAGTGTGATCTACTTCAAAGCACCCTGGGAACACAAGTTTGAGGAGCAAAAAACGGTGAAAAGAGATTTTAAACTGAATCAGGTACTTCTACATTCTTTAAATCTTAATATTATTTACCCTAGATATGATGAGCATTGCAGTAAGTGTAACATAGAAACACAATGTCCAGGGTTCAGCTGCCCTGTGAGCAGGATGTGGGGGTGCTGGAAGTTAACCTCCCTCTCCTGATGGGTAGAGGTGGCAGGAGGGTTTTTCACACAAGAGCATAATCTTCACTGAAAAAAATGTGAAACACTCAGAAATTGCAACTCAGAATTTTGCTTTGGTGACTGGCAAAACACAAGTGTGAACTCTGACCAGCACTTTTGAACATAGTAGTTATTACAGATATTTGTTTCAGTAGAGGAATTCTTCCTAATATCCGATCTAAACATTCCCAGGTGCAACTTGAGCCCATTTCCTCTTGTCCTATTGCTAGTAACCTGGGAGAAGAGACCAACACCCACCTCACTACAACCTCCTTTCAGGTAGTTGTAGAGAGCAATAAAGTCTCCTCTCAGTCTTCTCGTCTCCAGACTAAACAACCCCAGTTCCCTCAGCTCCTCTCCATAACACATGTTCCCTAGACCCTTCACCACCCTCGTTGTCCTTCTCTGGACCCACTCCAGCACCTCCATGTCCTTCTTATCCTCTGGTGCCCAAAACTGGACACAGTGCTCAAGCTGTGGTCTCACCAGTGCTGGATACAAGGGCATAATCACTTCCCTGCTCCTGCTGGACACACTATTTCTTGTACAGTCCAGGATGCCATTGGCCTTCTTGGCCCCCTGGGCACACTGCTGGCTCACATTCAGCTGGCTGTCCACCAACACCCCCAGGTCCTTTTCTTCCTGGCAGCTTTCCAGCCACTCCTCCCCAAGCCTGGAGCATTGCCTGGGGCTGTTGTGACCCAAGTGCAGGACATGGCACTTGGCCTCGTTGAACCTCATGCACTTGATGTCAGTCCATCAATTCAGCCTGTCCAGATCCCTCTTCTGCTCAATTTCCTGTCATCTGCAAATTTACTGAGGGTGCACTCGATCCCCTCACCCAGGTCACTGATAAGGATACTAAACAAGACTGGCCCAGAACTGATCCCTGAGGGACCCCGCTCGGGCCCGGTCACCAGCGGGATTTAACTCCATTGCCCGCAACTCTCTGGGCTCGGCCATCCCGCCAGTTTCTAACCCAGCCAAGAGTCCACCTGCCTAGGCCGTGAGCCGCCAGCTTCTCCAGCAGGATGCTGTGGGGAACGGTGTCAAAGGCCTGACTGAAGTCCAGGTAGACTCTCCCTTACCTATCATGTGGGTTACCTGCTCATAGAAGGAGACCAGGTTGGTCAAGCAGGACCTGCCTTTTATGAACCCATGCTGGCTGGGCCTGATCCCCTGCTTGTCCTGCACATGCTGTGTTCAGGATGAACCATTCCATAATCTTCCCTTGTGTATGTCCTTGAAGTTTAACATACATGCTCAAAAAAGACAAAAATACATTCATTTAATTCAGTTTTGTCTTCTTTCCATATGTTGTGCCAATACTCTATTTGTTCTCATCCATAACAAAAGAAAAAAAACCAACTCATTTAGGTCTGATCTTAAGTTGCTGAGCTTTGTACAGGAAAAGGTCTCATTTCAGTGTTCCTCATATAAAAAGAAGAGGTTAGAAACCCATATTTTTCTAGCTATCGTGTTGCCTGACATTGTGAAGACACTGACAGGAAACTGTCATATTTGTTATTTTTATCTGTGACTTTAAATGTATTTTTGAATATGGATATTGACAATTGTCTATAGCTGAGAATATTTGATGCACTGCTACCAAATAGGAGAAACTATGAGACAGGGAGAAACCACACAGATTTTTTTTAATATGCTAATGAATATTAACAGGATTTTTTGTGAAGGCATATAATCTACCACAAGTCTTCTTTCACTGCATTAGAAGTTAGAAAACTGTCAAAGCAACCTTGAGCCTTTATACATTTTTCAAACAACTCCATCACAAAAAAGGCAACAAGATCTGAAAGAGGGTGCCTGAGAAAGTCTATGATTTTGCTCTTAACCTGTTAATTGCTTCCTGTCTAAACAATCGGTCTGATGAATGATAGCCTCATTCTTGCAGTGCTGTTTCTACATTATCCCAGTCCAAGTTAGAACTTATAAATCCAACCACAATCATTCTGTTTGAAAGTGTAAAACTATTGAGTAGCTTCACTGTCTGATAAGTTCCAGGGAATTTCTTTTTTTTCCAAAGAATTATTCCCCTAACCTATGCACGGAAAAGCTGACATTTTGTGTATCACTGTAGAGCCAAAAAAATAAAGTAAAATATTTAGCCTAACAACAATTACTGGTGAAATCCTGACTACTGATATTACACCTATACTAAGGTTAAATGTTAAAGAGTTGTATTGCTTAAGTGACTGTAATTTTCTTTTAAATAGCATGAGAAAAAAACTGTGCAGATGATGTATCAGAAAGGCACGTTTAAGTTAGGCTACATTGAAGAAATGAATGCTCAAGTCCTTGAACTCCCTTATGCTCAAAAGTCATTGAGCATGACCATCCTGCTGCCAGGTGACATGGCTGATGGATCCACCAGTGGGCTAGAGCAGGTAAGGCAGTATTATATCATGGACTACGGCTGAAAGTTGTTTGTCTGAATTAAGGCTGGTAAAGATCTAAACATTTCAAAGCTGCCCACCTGTTTTCTTCACTGTCTTCTAGATTGAAAGCACAATGACCTATGAAAATTTAACACTGTGGGCCTCTTCTGAGCACATGTTTGAGACAACAGTGGAAGTGTACCTCCCCCGATTCAAGCTTGAAAGCACCTTTAACCTCAATGAGGTTTTACAAGAGATGGGGATGACTGACATCTTCACTGAATCGAAAGCTGATCTTTCTGCAATGTCACCTGCAAAATCTCTGTTTCTGTCAAATGTTGTCCACAAGACGTACATGGAGGTCAATGAGGAAGGCACCACAGCAGCAGGGGGAACAGGAGCTGCCATCGTGAGGAGGTCTCTTCCTCGCACAGAGGTCTTTATGGCTGACCACCCTTTCTTATTCTTTATTAGACACAATGCTACCAATACCATCCTTTTTTTTGGCAAACTCTGCTTACCTTAAAATCAGGGCCATTTACTAACACTGTGAGAAACACCTGGATGAAAATCAGAAACTGTATTTTTTCCCCCAATGCATTCTTAACCTTTTGACAGCTAGTTTGTGTTTCAAAGTAATCACTGCTACCAGTTTAGCTTCAAACCCATTAATTGGATGCTCTGCCACTAGGCTCCTTGAATTGCAGATATTGATCTTAAGCCAGAATAGGAGTAAATTTCACTTTAATCTGACTGGATATGAATAACATCTTGTTTCCTCAATGGCCTCATATGCTCCTGTATTCCTTATGGTTCCCCAGCCCAGCCACGTAGTGTAATACAGCACTGGCCTAGCAGAGATGGTGTTGTTGCTGTCTGAGGAGAAACGTCTGCAACAATTTTCAGTAAGAGCTAGTAAAAACAGAGTAGCCCTGCTCTGAATTCTCTGATTTCTGTCCAGCTGGGTCCTGGTCACCAGAGAGGTGCTTTGGAGACACTTTTTTTGCTTATCTGCATTGTGTAGCTGTAGCAAATTGTTTGCACAGTGGAGATTTGACCTTGACAATTCCCTTTCCTGTAGCAGCAGTTCACAACCAAGTAGGAGAAAGATGTCTACAGTAAATATACATATTACTGATAACTGTACCACCTTTTCCCCAGTGATGTGGGCTGGTTCTGCCCTTGTGCTATTCTACACTATAAAAGCTTATGCTAGAAGCAGCTTTGGCTTAATTTATTTATTAAAATGTACACCTACATCTAAATTGTCATCTTACCAACTGGAAGAATGATGTGACATGTACTCCTTTCATGAGCCTTGGATATTTTTGTGCAAGTTTTTATTATTAGCATTGGTTTTTATGATAATAACAGTAGGACTACTCAGTCAGGGAAAAGGACAGAAATTTGCCCTTATGGATATCTCTAGAAAGGGAGCTGATTACAACAGCAATTTTGTATACAGGAGGGCAGGATTTTGGCCTTCTGTTTGCTGAACTTTTTTTGCATTGATTTTTTTAAAATAAAAACTCACAGAAGAGTTGAAGGGACCTCTGGAAGTCATCTGGTCCACCTCCCCTGCTCTTTTACTGACTGCGTGCCCCAGTAGGACGGACACAGTCATCAACAGGCAGCACAGAGGCCAGACCTGTCCACCCCATTGTAAAGTAAACATGAAAGGACATGAGGTGGCTAACAATTGAAGGAATAAATATGTCAATGCATTCACTCATGGTATATGATGAAACAAAGAAAGGAGTGAGTCAAGTCAGAAGCCAGGTCACAGAAGAAGGAATAAGCCAGGTCATTAGTCCAATTCCAATCATATTGTAATTGCCAAAAAGCAGCATAATTACATACACAATCCTCTTTCTGTCCTGGTTGTGGTGGTGTCCCACCATCACTGGGAGCTCTCCTTCTAATGGACAGTCAGGGAGTCCTTCTGATAACTGGAAACCCTACACAGGGCACCTACTACATAAAAAAACTTCCCCCACTCACTACACACAGAACCAGCCTTTACACTGTTAGCTTTAGAGGCAGTACAGCTGATGTTACTGCTGTTAATCACCTGGCGGTGATTTCCTAATTGATTTTCACCCAAGGTTGGCCACGCATTGAGAGAAAAGCAAGAGGAAGATCCTTCCTGTCTGGATGTGGACATCATCCCTATGTCAACCCTGATACAGGGCTTGGGGTTTACACCCCAGCACTTCACCTGGTCAAGCAGGGCCACCTACGGCCAGTTGCCCAGGACCATGTCCAGGAGGCTTTTGCATGTCTCTAAGGATGGAGACTCCACCACCCCTCTGATCAACCTCACCTAAGTTCTCAAAGGACTTCAAAGATAATTTTGTATGCATGGAGTCTGCAGGAACAGAATACAGAAACCCTGTTGTGGTTTACATCCAGGTGGGATCAGGGCACCATGTGGCTGCTTGCTCACCCACCTCTACCCCCAGAATGGGAAGGAGAAAACGGAGAAAAATAGAAAACCCTGTGGGTTGAGACAAGGAGAATTTAATACAACAACACAGAAGGAACAGCAAAAACCAGTAGTCACAATATATAAAACAATATATAACACAGGGCGCAAAGGAAAGAGATCACTGCATGGACTCCGGATGGCAACCATGGCTAGGACCCCTGGGCCCGGAAAGCCCCCAGCCCACAAACAGCCTCTGTCCCTGCAACCGCCCGCCCCGCTTGGCCCCGGCCCAGCCCGGCCCTGCTG